TAAAGTTTTTTTTTGTCATATTAATATTTTTTACCATATTATTACTTTTTTCCATGTCACTATTTGTTTGCCATGGTGTCTTCCATGTGTATTAATATTTTGACATGTCATAATGTTATTGTGAATTAACAGGAGATGTCAAGCCATTTTTAATGAAAAGACCAAGTTGGGGTTAAAATGGTAAATAGTAGGGACCAAATTAGGGATTTTTTGAGTTGAGGGATCCAATTGGGGGTTCATACAATAGTTGAGGGACCAAAAGGGGGGGTTTAACGTTTCTAATATTATCACATGTCTCTTGAAATTCTCTTATTTTATGTAGTCCATTGATTTCTTCTCATGGTACTATGGATAAAGATGAAAAGAACCAAGGAGTACATTGACCAATTAGATACGCAAGTGCAAGAGCTTTATGGAATGAGAAAGGCAATGTGAGGTTCATTACATCTTTGAGGAAGCAAACTACTATCCATATTACATGGCTTTGTGATTTTAATTACCATTTAGAAAGGGGTCTTCATGTATTCAAGGAGACACTTGAATTGGAACATGAGAATTTTAGAAATAATTTATTAGGAGTGAGTAGACTTAGAGTCTCTATATTAATTAGTATTAAACATTGTCCACTATACAATTTTTTTTCCTCTTGATTTTTTTTTTGTTATTTTTCTTAACTAAAATTCCTAACAAAGTTCTCTATTATGTTTATTGATTAAACATTTGTAGTTCATGAAATCTATTAACAAATCAATTGTGTTTGCAATGGTACCTAAATTTTCTTCTCTTGAGTCTTTTTTTGGCCAGCTTATACTCTTAATTATTTCCATTAGATTTTATTTGTTCCTAAAGGTTCCTAACAATTTTTTTTCTACTTATAATTCATTAGATCTATTATCAAGTCACTCTATTCAAAAAACCACCTACCAAATTTACATGCCAATTATTGAACACATTTACTAAATTTCCTTTGTTTTTCCTCCCAATCCCAAACATTCAAAGTTTCATTTGTTAATACTGTGCTCCATTGCATTTAACTATAATTGTTAATTTTTTTTTTGACTATCCAAAAAATATATAAAATATTAATTAAAGTTAGTAAAATTATGTAAAAAATAATTAAAAATTAAAAACTTACTTTTTTAGATAAGGAGTTATGAGAAAAAGGTTTGCTTGAAGCATTAGCAAACGAAGCCTAAGACTCTCAAGTGAAAAGCAAAGAATGAAGTATGAATAAAAAATAACATAAAAATAACATTACTAGAGCTAAAAATTATTAAAAAAACAAAAAATCTAATACTAATAAGACGATAATTTGTATCCTTGAACAATTAATCACCAAGAAGTGAAAGACACTACAACAAAACTACTCTAATAAGAGTACATACCATTGTTAATAGTAACAATTCCAGTCGCCAAAATAGAAATAGCAACTGACTACTCTGTCGTGGCCCATCATTGTATGCTTGGTGGTTAAAAGTTTTTAATGACGGGGGCATTTTGCCCATTATTAAAGCTCAACACCATCCTATTGTTAAAATTTCATGTACATGTCCACCGAATTAGTTTTTAGCATAGGTAACCCCCTCGTTAAACATAAAATAATTTTTAAATTTAAAAAATAATAACCACCCATTGCTTCTAATGACAGAGATTGCTCGTCATTGAAATTCATTATTATATTGACAAAATAATTCATTGAGATTATTTAGCTGCTAGTGATCACTGGTTTAATGATATAATATCACATTTAGAAAAGTCAAATTGCCAACAAAATAAATCAAATTACAATATCGTGATTAGAAAAAATAATACAGTAACAATATAAACTATAATTTCTCTTACTAATATATATTAAAACTTTCAAAAACGTTTAATCTTATATCCAAGAGTCTCCCAAAGTAATAATAAGTATAATACAAATTCTGTCTTTGAACAAAAAGTACCAAAAGAGAGCGACAGTTATTAACCCAAATACAAGTTGATGCCCTTAAAATTTCTTCCACCTAGAAATGAAAAATGCAAAACTGCTACTAGCACTTGAAAAAAACCCAAACAATGCAAAACTTGGTAAATTATGATAATTCACCTTGCTTGTCTGATAGTCCAATGTAATTAAATTTAGTTTTTCTAGCCTCCAGATGAACCTCCTCTATTAGCCCATCGACCTCCTGCAAAGGTTAACATCAAACATGGAACAAATTACTTAGACAATCTTTAAAGTAAAAAATTAACTAACAAGATTAGACCTAGCAATTTTTTACCCAATCCGCTAACCCGTCCATTACCTGCTCATTTAAAATGGGTTAAGATCAAATATTTATGACCTGTGACCCGTTAATGACCTGTTAAGAGAACCCGACGAGTCACGGGTCAATAACGGATTGACCCACCAGGTTAATGAGTTGACCCGTTTACCCGTCTAAAAATTTAAAAAAATTTAATTTATTATTTATTTATTTTGTTTTCCAATTCCCAATCCCACCTAAACATCTAATAATTAACTAATTTTCCCTAATTAGCTAATTGATTCTCTAAACTCATCATCTTCTAGAAGTAAAAATAAGGTTTAAATACCATTTTGGTCCCTTAACTTTTCACTTTGGCACCAAAATTATCCTTCAACTTTAAAAAGTACCAAAATTATCCCTAAACTTTTATTTTCGGTATCAAAATGGTCCTTCCATCAGTTAAATGACAGATGGCACGTTAACTTGCCAGCAAATCAATTCTTTTTTTCTTAACTAATGACATGGAAAAAAAAAAAAAACATGGTTGGCCTTTGTTTTATGAGTTGGCATTTTTTATTTAAATTAAAAATACCAATTTCCTTCACTTTCTCTCTCTTTTACCTTCCTTTTTCCCTTACCTCTGCAAACCCAGATCTGGGTTCTCTCTCAAACTTCATCTTCTTCCTCTTTTTCTCCTTCGATAGTTTTGTCTCCTCATTCTCTATCAACCTTCCTCCTTCCTTTCCTTGCTCATCCTTCTTCTTTCTTCTTCTTATTCTTTCTCTCTTTCTTTCTTCTCTTTTCTCCCTTCTTCTTCCTCTCTCAAATCCAGATCTGGGTTTTTCTCAAACCCTATGGATTTGCCTTTTGCTTTAGGATTGTCACCTTTTCATTATTAGAGCTCCAGTAAAGCTTCGATCCATTCTTTTTCATCACCTATGAACATCTCACCAGATTTAAACTAAGAACAAGGACAAAATCAAACAAATGGTTTAGATGAAAACTAAATTTGATTAAATGGAGAGTTAAATGAAACGTAGTTGATATTTTTTAGCAAAAACAGAAACATTTGATGTTTCAATAGAATCTGAATTAAAATTTTGACAGAATTCAAAACATAGAACTCCAAATTCATCAAACTTATTCCAAAGAAGAACTTCTCAAATTCAAAATGTAGATTTAAACTATGAACAATGAATCTAACAAACAATTCAAGATATAATGAAGATCTAGCATATTGAAGATTAGCATCATGAATCGGATCGCTGCAGAAAACAAGTGTCCAACTAAATTTTCGAAATGAATTCATCCATAAAGTGGAGCCAAACACAAATTCAAACAGATTATTTCAAAGTTTAAAGCACAGATCACTCAATCGTTGAGATATTCATCAAATTTGAACTTAATTAGCAATAGATCAAAAGGTAGCAAGTAGTAGAAATAACAGAGAGGGATAAGTCACCACGGAAAGGTGCATTCAGAGCCAAATTCAACACAGAGTACGCTAACGAGGAGTGGTTCAAGAGTTTCGTTAGGTGGAGTTTTTGCAGTGAGTAGAGTCTCTTAGGGCTGGGTTTGAGAAAAACCCAGATCTGGAGAGGAAGAAGAATGAAGAAGAGAGAGAGAGAGAGAGAATAATCAGAAGAAATATGCTCACATCAAATTTGCTTCGATTTTGAATGACGATTCGAGAAAACAACATCATCGGAAAGGACATCTGATGATGAAGAAGAAATGAGCTCCGGTACAAGATTTGGAGTTTGTAGAGCAAAATTTGAGTGCAACGTTTGAGAAAAACCCAGATTTGTGTTTGTTCAAGTTTTTGAGTTTTCAGAGGTCGACAGTAGAAGTAGCAGAAGGTTTGGTGTGAACGATGACAACCTTGAACAAGGCACTATCACCTAGAGGAATGAAGAAGCGATTGAGCATCCATTCCAATGCGTAGGCGTTGTGCTCGTTGTCATCGATGACGATGATCATCACTTGCTTCTTTGTTATTTCAGAAAACCCAGAGGCTGGGTTTGTAGAGGTAAAGGGAAAAGGAAAGGTAAAGGAGAGAGAAAGTGAAAGAGGAAGATTCTTGAGGAAGGAGAATGATTGTTCTAGAGGGCAAGGTTCTTGAGGTTGAGGGAGACAAGATTTTGTCAAATTGGTTCACAATTTTTTTTTACAGATCCAAGGAAAATTGAAGCTTTCAACATAATTTTTTTTTTTTTATAGAGATTAAGCCATAGAAATTT